GAAGTCTGAGGTGACTTCTACGCTGATCCGGTGGTTACTTACCACTGCGGACACTCATGCCGTCGTGTCAACTGTCTTCACTCCGACCGTGGGGTGAGTTTCGCTCTAGCATTCTCCCTAGATTCTGTCGCGAGCAGGGCATCCGTCAGTCCTGGACGCTTCCAGAGTCCCCATAGCAGAATGGAGTTGCTGAGCGCCGCATAGGCTTGGTCATGGAGATTGCACGCACCTCCATGATCCACGCCCGTGCGCACCCATTTTCTGTGGCCCTACACGGGGTTCGGTACGCCGCTCACCGGCAGAATCTCTGGCCACGTGTCCTCTCGGCCAGAGGCTTCACCGACAAGTCTCTGGATGGGGTCCCCCTGGTGCTGCGTCGCAATTTCATGACACCTCCGCGGATAAGCTCTCCCTTCGCGCCCTTCCCTGTGTCTTCCTTGGTTTCCCCATTGACTCCTCTGACTTCACCTTTTACCACCCTCCCCTTCACTGGTTCTTTGACTCCCGTGACGTTCGTTTGTCGAGTCAGTCCCCTACTACACCTGGTACCCCTGTCGAGGTCTTTCGGTACCTCCTCCTCCTCTCTTCCTGACTCCCGCCCCCCCTCCTGCCCCTTAGGTACAGCCCCCCCCCAGTCCAGCCCCGTCAGGTGTGTCACACGCTACCCCTCCCCCCTCGGTAGCCCCTCAGGTGCCGTCCCCTTCCCCACAGTCCTCCCAGCCTGCAGCAGACCCTGCGGGAGCTGGTTTTCGTGGCGAGGACCCTGGAGGTGCTAGCTCTAGAGGTGCTGGAGTTGGAGCAGAGAGCGTACTTGTGCGAGGGCGTGGTTCTGGGGGTGCTGGAGTTGGAGCTGAGCCCGTAACTGCAGGAGACTCTAGTCTTCGGGGAGCTGGTGTTAGTGGAGCTGTCCCTGGGGGTGCTACGACTGGGGGGGCACCCTCTGTTGGACCTGGAGAGCCTGGGACGGGCCCTGTTACTTCTGGTGGTGCTGGCTCTGGGGGTGGTGCGACTGGTTCTTTGGAGAGCGGTCCTGGGGCTACCGCCGCACCGGACACTACTCCTCCTCCCCACCCCTACCCGACCCGGCACCAGGCCCGTGTTCGCGGTGCCTGTGAGGAGCAGCTGGAGTTCGAGCGAGAGGAGCGAGAGCTGGAGCGGCAGCAGCTGGAGCTACAGCGGTTTGAGCAGCAGCAGCAGCACCCGGAGCAGCAGCCGGAGTAGGAGCAGCCACAGCAGCAGCCGCAGCAGCAGGAGCAGCAGCAGCCGCCCGCAGCTGGAGGAGCAGCGGTCGCAGCCGCAGCAGCAGCAGCAGCAGCAGCAGCAGCAACAGCCGCCACCTCCTCCTCCTGTCTATGGTATTCGGGCCCTCGGTCTCCCCTCTCCTTCTCCTCCCTCCTCCCCCTCTCCTCCTGTCCCTGGTCCTCCGCTTCCTCCCCTGACCCCTCCCCAGCTGTTTTCCCTCCTTCTCTGCCTCCGTTGTCCCCTCCTCTTCCTCACACTTGGCCCTCGCGTCGCTCTCTTCGTGCTCGTCCCTCGTCCCCTTCCCTTCTGTGACCTTCGTACTGCCCTGTTTTGTTCTAGTCCGCCTCGTTCGTCTCCTTCTGTACTTCCTTCTCCTCCTGAGTCGGCTCTCACTACTTCCCTCTGTACTCCTGTTACGGACTAGTACCGCACGTACTTTCATGTCCTCTCTCGTGTTCTCGCCTCTCTTGTTACCGACCCACGTGCTTCGCTGTCCTCTGTCTCCGCTCTTACTGCCGCAGTCACTGAGTTTGCCTCTACTCGCCGCCTTGAGTACGCCACCAGTCTTGTGGCTGCTCCTCCTACCAGTCCTCTGGCCGTCGGGGGTGAGTCTACGCTTGGTTGTGACGCCCTAGAGGATAGGCAGTTTGAGCTAGAGTTCCTGGCAACCACTCCCCTCATCTCTGTGCCATGCTGCTCGCTTCCTGAGGGAGACCCCGACGCCCTTGACCTACCGACTCCTCGCACTTACGCTGAGGCAGTGTTAGGGCCTTGGGCCTCTCAGTGGAGAGCTGCCATGGACTTAGAGATGGCCTCCTACAGATCCACAGGCACTTACGTCGACGAGGTTCCCCCCCCTTGGACGAACGTAGTCGATGTCATGTGGATCTTCAGAGTAAAGCGGCCACCGGGATCTCCTCTGGTCTTCAAGACGTGCTATGTGGCTAGAGGTTTCAGTCAGCGCGAGGGAGTTGACTTCTTTCATACCTTTGCGCCTACCCCGAAGATGACCACTCTTTGGGGGTTACTGCACGTAGCAGCACAGAGGGACTACGAGTTACACTCTCTCGACTTCTCTACTGCTTTCCTTCAGGGTAGCCTACACGAGGAGGTCTGGCTGCGTCGTCCCTCTGCCTTCACTAACACTTTCCCTCCTGGGACCCAGTGGAGGCTGAGGCGACCGATCTACGGTCTCCGTCAGGCTCCTCGTGAGTGGCACGACACCCTTCTTTCTACCCTGCCTGACCTCGGTTTCCAGCCGTCTATTGCTGACCCGTCGCTGTTTGTTCGGCGTGGCTCCACACCGTTCTTTGTACTGGTCTACGTCGACGACCTGGTTTTCGCCACTGTTGACAGGGTTGCTTTGGCTGACGTGAAGCGCGAACTGCAGAAGAGACACACGTGCACTGACCTTGGTGAGCTGCGCCACTACCTTGGCCTGCAGATCAGCAGGGACAGAGCCGCTCGCACCATTACACTCTCACTGTCAAACATGGTGCAGCAGGTCCTTCAGCGGTTCGAGCTTCAGCTCTCCACAGTACAGCGCACACCTCTTGCTGTTGACCACAAACTCACTGGACCCTTCCCCGACGAGCCGTTTGAGCCTAGTGGTCCTTACGCAGAGCTTGTGGGCTGCCTCATGTACCTGATGACTTGTACTCGCCCGGACCTCGCCTTCCCTCTTAGCATCCTTGCTCGCTTTGTTACGCCAGGGAGACACCGTCCAGTTCACCGTCTGTAGTGACGACATCAGGCGTGGTGCTGATTCTTGAAGGGCAGCACTCTGTTGTACTTACTGGACACTGTGACTCTTTTTACGCTGACGACGCCGAGACTCACAAATCTACTCAGGGGTACTGCTCCAACCTGGGCTCTGGAGCTGTTTCGTGGAGGTCCACGCGTTCCTCCTCGTTCTCGACCTCCACTGCTGAGGCCGAGATCTACGCTCGAGCCATGGCTGCACAGGAGCTGCGTTGGTTGACCTTCTTGCTCACCGACCTTGGTGAGCAGCCGCGCACTGCACCGACCTTGTTCACTAACAACAAGGCCTCGATTCTTCTCTGTCGAGAGCCGCGACTGGAGAGCAGAGTGAAGCACATCAACGTCAGGTACTTTCTTCTATGAGGGTTGCAGCGGCGTGGACAGGCTCGCTTCGACTTTGTGGAGTCCAAGGCCAACACTGCAGACATCTTTACCAAGGCGCTTCCGCCTTGTGACCACAAGAGGTGTATACAGTTAGGTCTCGTTGACACAGGTTCTCGCCTTGCGTAGTCTTGAGTTCTCAGTTTGCTTTGTTTGTACATTTTTATATATACCTCTGTGAACTCTTGAACTGGCCTTGTGGCTCTTTTGCTTGTGCTCGGAATGTTTGGTGACGTTGTGATCCACCCTGAGCTTTGTTTCTCAGTGACTGGTCTTATGACCATACACTTTTGGTTTTGCTTGACACACACCCCTCACTTAGACTATGGGGGTGTGTCAAATGTTGTAGCCTTAGTGTTGTGTGTTATAGGGGGTACAATTGTTAGGGTTATGTACCCCAACCAAACTTAGTCAAACCAACACTTTCATTCTTGATACCGTAGCACACCCCATTTTCTACACATTACCGTTACCACTTTAGCTTCGCTACTTATTCTTCGCTCGTGCCTTCGCTCGATGTACTGTTTTTTCTTCGATAGTGCAATTCTCGCTCGCTCGCTCAATTGCACTCGTAACAGCTATTAGAAGAAGGTTTTATTTCTCCAGGGAGTGCAGGACTCACACTAATGCTTGTTGTAATAATACCTAGAAGTGGTGCTCAGTTCTACAGAGTTAGTAATTTTGTATCTGCAATCGGGTCAACACAAGCACGCCGCTGACCTCCGTGCCGAGCCCACCCTTTCATCTGCAGAAGGGCCATTCTAGCCTGATCTCAGAATGCACTTTTGCCACGTCATACCATATCCGTCCATCCATCACATTGCCGCAGCTTATTTTCAGAAAGGCGAGCAGCGGTTCAGTGCGGTGACTTGTACGTCGATTGGCCAAACACTCGACGCGATCTGCTAAGCCTGCGCTACCCACGATAGCGTGTGTGTGTGAGTGAACGTGTTACCGTTTGTGCTGCAATGGCAGCTGCAATGCGATCGTGCCGCCACGTGCCGTGCGCTCCGGCCCTTGGGAATGAGCACGAAAAGCGTCGCTTTGGCCATGTCGCCTTTCAGGGTAGGGAGATTGGCGGGAGCAGCACAACGTACTCATATGTCAGATGCGTGTATCGAATTGCCCAAATTGACTCAATAGCGGGGACAGAGAGAAGACCAGCAGCTAGTCGACCATTTCGAGTCGTCACCGCGAGGTTACCAGCGGGTTTTGCGGGGCCTCAGGACGGAAGGCTAGCAGCAAGACCGTCAATTGCGGGGAAGTCGAGATTGGCGGAAACAGCGCGATCTGCTGCTCCTGGCGCGCGAGTCAAAGCGCACGCCGTGGCATGGCGGAGCGGAGGGGGCGGCGAGGGAAGCGGCGGCAATGACGAAATGGGGAGAGGGGGCGGCGGAGGAAGAGGGGGAGATGGAGGCGGAGGAGGAGGGGGAGGTGGGGGAGAGGATAGCGAAGACGGCGGTGGTTGCGGAGGGCAAGGTGGTAACCAGCAGGAACATGGTTACTGGTTCCTATTGAAGCTGTTTTCTGATTGGTTTAACTCCCTTTTCGACGGCCTCTCTCCTCTATTCCACAAACGCCTGAGCGCCTTATCACTCTCCGTGTTTCTCCTTACCATGCTTCCGTTGCTCCTCTCCCCGCTCGCGCGCGCGGAATCCGCGCTTCTTCGCCGCCCTGCGCCCTCTCCTGCGGCCGCCGCGCCCGCCGGGGACCAAGAGGTGATATGGGAGCTCCACGGTGACAGGTGGCGGCGCCTGATTGGCGGAGACAGCAGCAGCAGCGCGAGCAGCAGCAAGGGGAAGAAGGGCCAGCTAGTGGTGGAAGTTGAACTGGAAGGCGAGGAAGCTGCTAACGCGTACGAGGAGGAACACGGACGCGTTGTAAAGGGGATCGTTACAAGCACGGGGAATGGCAACGGGAAGGCCGCAGGGGGTAGGGTTTTAGCGGGGGAGGAGGATGAGCGGAGCAGAGGGGGGGATATGGTTGCGCGGGTGGTGAGGGGAGTGAAAGCGGCGGTGGTGAGATGGATGTTACCAGAGGGTTATCCCGATAGTGTGACTCCTGACTATATGGAGTACACAGTGTGGCGCATGCGGCAAACAGTGGCGAGCGAAATGAACCACGTGCTTACAACGCAGGTGAGAGGCGTTTCTATGTCGCAGGCTCCTTCAATTGAGGTCTGTTTGCTATGTCTAAGAACCTTCCTCTCCCCTGCCCTCCTCTCTCCGTCCTTTTCCTCACCTGAAGCCCTTTCTTCTCTCTCTTCTCTCAAACGGTCCTTCGTGGTAAAGGACGGGCTGGGCTATGCAGCCGAGGTCACGCCCTCCCAGTTCAACATGTTGCATCCCTTCCCCCTCGAACGGTCCTTGCATTAATCACGGTGGGTGTTACAAGGAAGGTGCAAACACAAGCAAGACAAACAACCAGACCACAATTCTACCTGTCACACCTACTCCTTCCCACTCCCGGCCCCCTCTGTCCGACCCTACTGGCCGAATGGGGGCTCAATCAGCTGGTGGTGCAGCTGTCCCTCGCTAAGAGGGACGATGGGGCCCTGCATGCCGAGCTTGTCCGCTGCCAAGGCCTCGTTGGTCTTGGAGCGGAGGGCATTGGCCTGCGCTCTCTGGAGGCAGACACTCCAGCGCTGGCGGTACTTCCGTCAGCAGCTTGGCTGCCTCGTATGAGGTAGGTGCTGCGTTGTATCGCAGCTTGGCCGCTAGCTCCGCGCACTGCCGCAGGTAAGCCATCACCCCCGGGGAAGGATAGCCGTATGTCTCGACTGCAAGGGCGTGGAAGCCCACCCACGCGTTCCGTCGCGCGTATTTCTCCTCCTTCCTAGCTGCTGCCGCCCTTGCCGCCCACCCTGGAGCCCGACTGCATTCTTCATCCTGGTAGGACACGGGATCAGTCACAGTCACGTCACACAACCACACTCTCTCCCTCTCTTTCCTCCCTCTCTTCCCTCTCTCCCTCCCTTTCTCTCTTCCCTCTCTCGCTTCCCTCCCTCTCTTCCCTCTCTCCCTCCCTTTCTCTCTTCCCTCTCTCGCTTCCCTCCCTCTCTTCCCTCTCTCCCTCCCTTTCTCTCTTCCCTCTCTCGCTTCCCTCCCTCTCTTCCCTCTCTCCCTCCCTTTCTCTCTTCCCTCTCTCGCTTCCCTCCCTCTCTTCCCTCTCTCCCTCCCTCCCTCTCTTCCCTCTCTCGCTTCCCTCCCTCTCTTCCCTCTCTCCCTCCTGCAGGCAATGCTGTACGCGGTGGGGCTGGGAAAAGGCGCCATCCCAGCAGCAGCCGCGGTCAACTGGGTGCTGAAAGAATCCAAAGTCACACTCTCCCAGTTCAACCTGGAACCATTCGTCTCTCCTCCCTCTCTTCCCACTTTCTCTTCCCTCCTCGCCTCTCCAGGCAATGCTGTACGCGGTGGGGCTGGGCAAGGGCGCCATCCCAGCAGCAGCCGCGGTCAACTGGGTCCTAAAGGACGGGCTGGGCTACGCAGCAAAAGTCACGCTCTCCCAGTTTGGCCGCCATTTCGACGTCTCCCCCAAGCGCTCGCGCCTCCTCTCCGACCTCGTCGAGAACCTCTCCGCCTCCCTCGAGCTCCTCACCGCCACCTTCCCGCAGTACTTCGTTCAACTGGCTGCTGCAGCCGGGGCAGGGTTCTCTGCTTCCAGTCTCGTGCAGAGTGCCACGAGAAACCGGTTTTACGCCGGGCTGGCAGGCAGAAGAAATTTCGCCGAGGTAAGGCAGCACCTTAGGTCGGGCAGGTGAGAGTGCCGATGCGAGCAAGTGGGATTGCCGATGTGGGCAGGTGAGAGGGCCTGTGAAGGGACATTCCCTCGCTCTGACCTCGTGGAGAATCTCTCCGCCTCCCTCGAGCTCCTCACCGCCACCTTCCCGCAGTACTTCGTTCAACTGGCTGCTGCAGCCGGGGCAGGGTTCTCTGCTTCCAGTCTCGTGCAGAGTGCCACGAGAAACCGGTTTTACGCCGGGCTGGCAGGCAGAAGAAATTTCGCCGAGGTAAGGCAGCACCTTAGGTCGGGCAGGTGAGAGAGTGCCGATGCGAGCAAGTGAGATTGCTGATGTGGGCAGGTGAGAGGGCCTGTGAAGGGACATTCCCTCGCTCTGACCTCGTGGAGAATCTCTCCGCTTCCCTCGAGCTCCTCACCGCCACCTTCCCGCAGTACTTCGTCCAGCTGGCCGCTGCTGCCGGGGCGGGGTTCTCTGCTTCCAGCCTCGTGCAGAGTGCCACGAGAAACCGGTTTTACGCCAGGCTGGCAGGCAGAAGAAACTTTGCCAAGGTGAGCATGATATTCTGCCCTGCTTCGGGCAGGTGAGTGAGAGGGCCTGTGGGGGGACATTCCCTCTCCCTCCCTCCCTCCCTCCCTCGAGCTCCTCACGGCCACTTTCCCGCAGTACTTTGTGCAACTGGCCGCTGCTGCCGGGGCCGGGTTTTCCGCGTCCAGCCTCGTGCAGAGCGCCACGCGGAACCGATTTTATGCTGGATTGGCGGGCAGAAGAAACTTTGCTGAGGTAAGGAGGTGGCTTGCTTCGGGCAGGTGAGAGCTCCGATGTGGGGAGGTGAGACCGTGAGAGGGCCTGTTGGGGGGGCACTCCCTCCTCCCTCCGCCTCCCTCGAGCTCCTCACCGCCACCTTCCCGCAGTATATCGTCCAGCTGGCCGCTGCGGCCGGAGCGGGGTTTTCCGCGTCGAGCCTTGTGCAGAGCGCCACCAGGAACCGGTTTTATGCTGGCCTGGCGGGCAGAAGGAATTTTGCCGAGGTGAGATGATTCTGCCTTGGGTTGGGCAGGTGAGAGTACCGATGGGGCAGGTGACAGGGCCTGTGGGCGGGCATTCCCTCCCTCTCTCCGCTTCCCTCGAGATCCTCACACTCGCAGTAATTCGTCCAGCTCGCTGCTGCTGCTGGGGCGGGGTTTTCAGCATCGAGCCTCGTGCAAAGCGCCACGAGGAACCGGTTCTATGCCGGGCTGGCGGGCAGAAGAAATTTCGCCGAGGTGAGATTCCGCCTTGATTTGGGCAGGTGAGAGCGCCGATGTGGGCAGGTGAGAGGGCCTGTGCAGGGACATTTCTACGCTTCAACATCGTGGAGAAATTATTCGCCTCCATCCCTGGAGCTCCTCACAGCCACCTTCCCGCAGTACTTCGTCCAGCTGGCTGCTACTGCCGGGGCGGGGTTTTCTGCTTCCAGTCTCGTGCAGAGCGCTACCAGGAACCGGTTTTACGCCAGGCTGATGGGCAGAAGAAACTTCCTGAGGTGAACATGAGATTCTGCCCTGCTTCGGGCAGGTGAGAGGGCCTGTGAAGGAGCATTTCCCCCCTGCCTCTCCGCCTCCCTCGAGCTCCTCACAGCCACCTTCCCGCAGTACTTCGTGCAGCTGGTCGCTGCTGCTGGGGCGGGGTTTTTGGCTTCCAGTCTCGTGCAGAGCGCCACCAGGAACCGGTTCTACGCCGGGCTGGCGGGCAGAAGAAACTTTGCCGAGGTAAGGAAGTGCCGTGCCTTGCTTAGGGAAGGTGAGGGCTCCGATGTGGGGAGGTGAGACCGTGGAGGGCCTGTTGGGGGGCACTCCCTCCTCCCTCCGCCTCCCTCGAGCTCGTCACAGCCACCTTCCCGCAGTATTTCGTCCAGCTGGCGGCTGCTGCCGGGGCGGAGTTTTCTGCTTCCAGTCTTGTTCAGAGTGCCACGAGGAACCGGTTTTACGCTGGATTGGCGGGCAGAAGAAATTTTGCCAAGGTGAGATTCCTCCCTGCTTCGGGCAGGTGAGAGAGCCTTTGCTCAGCGTTTCAAGCGCCTGTTCTGTTGGGATGCGATGTCTGAAGTGCAAGTGGAGAGCCAGGGAGGTGGCTGTAAGGAGCTAGAGGGATACATTTTCTCCCTTGAGCTCCTCACAGCCACTTCCCCGCAGTATTTCGTCCAGCTGGCGGAGCAGAAGAAATTTCGCCGAGGTGAGAGTGACTGGTTGAACTTTTGGTATTGGATTGGTCTGGGCGTTTTGAAAATGGTGCAAAAGAGACCAGAAATAGCCCTTGGGATTGCCAGGTCCGCAAGCACTGCTATGGCGCTGCATGTGCTTGACTGCCTTGACTTTTGAGTCTAATAAAAAGTCACGTCTGTGTTCATCCACTCCTGTGACCAAATCTTGTGCCCTCCGACTTCTTTTCCCCCAGTTTCATCCACTCTTCTGACCAGCTCGGGTGACACACCTGCTGCTGTCTGATCCGTGTATCTAACTTCATTCACTCTCTGCTCCTCCCCTTCCTCTCCCCCCAGGTGCTAGCACGCGCAGAGGCACAGGGCATGGTGAGCAAGACATTGGGGATGGCACTAGGCATCGCCATCGCTCCACACGTGGGCAACCGGGGCCCTCTACTCTGGGCGACTCATGGCCTGCTGTCCGCCGCGCACCTGTTCTGCAACTACCGCTCGTACAAGGCTGTACAACTCAGGACACTCAACCCCTTCAGAGCAGGTGAGCAGCAAGAAAGGCCAGGGCACTCGGGCACTTGCTGCTCGGCACCAGTGACCTGTAACCACCTGAATCGACCATATCTCCTTAACATGTGTGCCTCGAAGCAGCTTCCTCCAATGCTCTGCCCTCTTTTGTCCCTCCTGTGCTCTCTTCTCTTCTCCCCTTGGTACTTTCCCCAGATATTGTCCTGGCAGAGTATGTGACCAATGGCAGGGTGCCAGGTGTCATTGACGTCAACTCACAGGAGCCCATTCTGCCGCCCCTCAAATCGATATTTTCGCCCAAGGTAACTGTCTGGATGTGGTGCGTGTTTGGTGCATGTGTGGTGCGTGTGTGGTGCGTGTGTGGTGCGTGTGTGGTGCGTGTGTGGTGCATGTCTGGTGGATGTGTGGTGCATGTGTGTGCATGTGTGGTACTTGTGTGGTGGATGTGTGGTGCATGTGTGGTGGATGTGTGGTGCATGTGTGGTGCATGCGCGTGCGTGCCTTATATTTGTGTTACATGCGCGTTACATGTCTTGTATGTGTGCCATGCAAGTGGGTGTCCTGCTTGGTATGTCACCTTCCGCCTATCACCCCTCTCCTTCCCTCTCCTTTCCATCCCTTCCCCTTCCTCGGGCGTCTCCCCCACCCCTCCCCGGCACGGGTAGCGAGAATTGGATCGAGTTTGGGGTGCCCTTGGCAGCAGTGGCGCACACAGAGAGACGTCTCAACCCGCACCTTCTCCCCATTTCCTCTCCGTTCCCTTCTACTCCAATGTTTGGGGAGTCTAAAATATTGCCCCACTTCGTCTCCGTTCCCCTTTTCTCTCCACTATGCAGGACAATCCACCACCAGCGCCTGGGACAGGGAGCGAGAACTGGATCGAGTTTGGAGTGCCTTTGGCCGCAGTGGCGCACACAGAGCGGGAGGCAGAGACCATGGCTGATATATTCCGAGGAGAGAAGTATTTGCTTGGGCGGGACGAGCGAACTGGACAGATGCAGGTGCGTGCCTTGAGTGTGATTGTGGTTGGGTGTGAGAACAAGGGAGAGGGTGTGTGGCGCACACAGAGCAGGAGGCCGAGACTATGGCGGGGATATTCCGAGGAGAGAAGTACGTGCTGGGAAGGGATAAGAGAACGGGGCAGATGCGGGTGGGTGCCTGCCATGTGTGTGTAAGGGTTGGGTGGGCATTAGGGGAAGAACAAGGGGAATTCCTTCCAGGCAGCCCTACAAGCCGCCTACCTCCGCACACTCTCTCCACACTCCCTCTGTCCCGCCATCCACTCTCTCGCCCCTCAAGCGCGCACCCACATCCAAGCCCGCGCAGCCGAGTTTTGCCGCCTTAAAAAACTAGAGGTGCTGCATGCTCTCCTCTTCCTCTTAACACTTTGCCTTCCCTCTCACCCCTGTCAACGCATCCCCAGGTTGTCTTGAAGGAAGGAGCACTCCCTCGGGATTTCCTCAGAGCAGCCCTGCAAGCTGCCTACCACTAAATGCCATCCTCCTCTGCCCACCGACATGCCTCCTCACCCCTCGCACCCACCATCCAGGTTGTGTTGAAGGAAGGAGCTCTCCCAAGGGACTTCCTCCGAGCAGCCCTGCAAGCCGCCTACCTCCGCACCGCACGCACACTCGCTTCACACTTCAACTGCCCCACTGCAAGCTGCCTGCCTTTCAATTCTCACCTCTTCCTCTAAATGCCATTCCATGCCTTTTCACCCCGGGGACCCTGTCACTAACCCACCAGGTTGTGTTGAAGGAAGGAGCTCTCCCAAGGGACTTCCTCCGAGCAGCCCTCCAAGCCGCCTACCTGCGCACGCTCGCCCCACACTCCCTCTGCCCCACAACCCACTCTCTCGCCCCTCAAGCGCGCACCCACGTCCAAGCCCGCGCAGCTGAGTTCGCCTCGTTTGGGAAACTAGAGGTGCTGCATGCTTCATATAACCGCATGGCGGGGGGGTTTGACGGGTTGTGTGAGGAGCTGAGAGCGAGTGGGTGGCGCTGCGATGATGGCTTGCTGGCGCGGCCGGGGGATTGGCGACTGCTGCTGGAATCAGCTGATAAGAGCAAGTGAGGGATGGGAGTGCAGCTGAGTTTGCTTCTTTCGGGAAGCTAGAGATGCTGCATGCTTCCTATGACCGCATGGCGGGAGGGTTTGACGGGTTGTGTGAGGCGTTGAGGGCGAGTGGGTGGAGCTGTGACGATGGCTTGCTGGCGCGGCCGGGGGATTGGCGACTGCTGCTGACGGCAGACAAGGGGAAATGAGGGATGGTTGGGAGTGCAGCAGCGTTTGCATTGGTGGGGAAGCCAGTTGGAGTTGCCGCATGTGTCATATCACTGCATGGCAGGAGGGTTTGACGTGCTGTGTGAGGCGCTGAGAGTCTGTGGTTGGCGCTGTGATGATGGCTTGCTGGCGCGGCCGGGGGACTGGCGGCTGCTGGTGTCAGCGGATAAGGGGAAGTGAGGGATGGGTGGGAGTGCAGCAGTGTTCTCCTTGTGCGGGTGGGTGCTGTGCTGCACGCTTATGACCTCGTGGCAGGGGGGGGTTGAACTTTGAAGGGCTAGGAGATGCATTTCCTCAGTACGGCACTGAGGGCCAGCAGGTGGCACTGCGACGATGACTTGCTGGCCTAACCAGGGGATTGGCGGATGCTGGTGTCTGTGGATTAGGGGAAATGATGGTTGGGAGAGCAGTAGCAGGTGAATCGTTTGGGAAACTCGGGGTGGTGGTGCGTCAACGATTAGTGAGTGCTGACATCATCAGGAGATGATGAGAAATGAGGGATTGGGGGAGCAGCAGTGTTTGCATCGGCTAGGAAGCTAGAGATGATGCATGCACACGTGTGTGATGGTGGGAGACATGACATTTTCATTTCTTTTTTAGGAGATTCTAAAATGGAGTTAAGGGTAGAAAAGAAACTTATGCAACATAGCTTGAATATTGGAGAATTTGAAATACGCAGTTGGCACAGCAGATCAGATAGGTAAGGATAAGCAAAGATATGAGGTGCATGATGCTAGGAGACACAGGGCCTCTGGTGCAGTGGTTGATGCAACAAAACACTGAGTTCCTAGGTCTGTTGTTCTCCACCTCCAGAAGCAAGACAAGGCTTGGTGCATTAGTAGCATGTGGAGATGCAGGAGATGCAGGAGATGCAGGAGATGCAGGAGATGCAGGAGATGCAGGAGATGCAGGAGATGGCGCTGATGCAGCGGGTGGGGCGGTAGTTCATGCTGATGCAGTGGGTGGGGCGGCAGATGGTGCTGAGCAGGCAGTGCAGCAGGTGGTTCAGGGATGAACTGGTTGCGGTTGGGGATGGAGATGGCAGCATCGATGTTGTCAGGCAGGCCTCTGTGGCGGCCCAGCAGCATCACCAGCACCAGCACCAGCACCAGCACCAGCACCAGCACCATCACCAGCACCAGGTGCAACAGCTACAGCAGTGGCAGCAGGGGCAGCAGATACAAGAGATGCAGCAGGCGGTGCAGCAGGCAGTGCAGGTTCGGGAATGAACTGGTTGCGGTTGGGGATGGAGATGGCAGCGTCGATGTTGTCAGGCAGACCTCTGTGCCGGCCCAGCAGCATCACCAGCACGAGAACCAGCTTGGACCAAGGACTCCAAACGCCTGAAAGGTGCGATACGGGGAAGGAAGAGAAGCACGATTTGGTTCAGAAGCAGAAGACCCAGCAGCAGCATCAGCGGCAGCGGCGGCAGCAGCAGCAGCAGCGGTGCCAACAGCAGCACATGCATCTCTCCATGAGTGCTCAAAATTCAACCTTTAAACACGACTTTTGGATTGACCAAGAAATCAGATTTAGCTGAATCACTGATATGCAACACAAGCACATCTTTATGAATGTTCATCATTTAAACAGTACAACAATTCATCCCCCCTATGATCTCCACACCTGCCACTGGCCACCTCCCAAAAGCAACGACAAGCAGGCGTGTGCTCTGAAATTAACAGAAAGGCTGACCAGACAGGGCCCTTCTTAACCTTGCAACCTGGCAGATCCGAGGTTGCAGCAGAGGAGCCATTCTGAAGTTCTAAAAAGGGGCGCACCAAATACGAGACTATGGGAAATTATAGAAACGGAAGCAGCAGAGGAGCCACTCTAGGACGCTAAAAGAAGAAGAAGAAGAAATAAATAAAAACCGCGCACCAGAGAAGCTATACGGAGGAGTGACACAGTCAGGACCAGCTTCAGGCGGACAGGTGTAGCCCAAGGAAAGGCCCACGTTGCCATATCCACTGCGGGAGAAAAACAAGTGCAAAGGTAAAGGTATGGCGTGTCAGCATTGGGAGGCCCACATTGCTGTATCCACTGCCAGAAAAGAACACATGCGAGGATGGGTATGTTGGGAGATCTTCAGACATAGTCACCAGAGAGCAGCTGTGCCCAGGCAAAGGTTACTGCTAAGCCATGACAACAATGGAAAAGGTTCCCATTCGCACGTCCACTGTGAGCCCAAACATATGAACGATTTTCGAGAAATTCTAGAAAAATCGCTCACAAGAAGAGCAGCAGTGCGCAGGCAACCACTATTTCTAAGCCATGTCGAAAATGGAAGAGGTTTTTGGCCACTGCAAGCCCAAGCATACGCAAGGATAGATGGAGGGGCCTCAAGAAAAGCACCCGAGGAGACCGGTTTTGAGGCGCCTAAAAACAGAAAAACACCTGATGAGCAAGACAGGTTTTGCCGCACGCACCCCTCGCGACGAGTCAAAGAAAGCTTGAACATGAAGGACCATGCGATCTGATGGCGCTGATTGGCTGCTGAACAAGGGTTTCACTTTTGAGAATTTCTCAAAAGGTTTGACCACAGCATGCATGGATGGATGTGCACATACATGGCTGATGAGCACGATATCGCCGATATCGCTGCACACACAGCTGAGAATGCGCATAGAATCAGCACCTGATGAAGCGCCTAAAATAAAGCACCTGATGAGCTCGAAGGCGATGCTGAAGATGTTGAAGTTGGAGATGCCGCTGGGACTTTTGAGTCAAATCAAAAGGTGACTTGACTTTTGAGTCGACTCAAAAGTCAGCTGATGATGCGCCTAGAACAAAGCACCTGATAAGTTCAAAAGCGATGTTGAAGATGTTGAAGTTGGCGATGTCGCTGGTGATGTTGGCGCTCTCTACGAGGCAGATCACCAGCAGTGCTATGAAGAGCGATTGAGGGCCTAAGCTGTTCCTTGATGAAGGCTTGAACACAGCATGTGGGGACTGGGCGCACTCACTCACCTGATGAGCTCAAAGGCAATGTTGAAAATGTTGAAGTTGGCGATGTCGCTGGTGATGTTGGCGCTCTCTATAAGGCATATGACCGGCAGTGCTATGAAGAGCAACGCCGAATCCCGCAGAAGCAGCCCTCTGCCCTGGGTGAACACCCCGTGATCCAGCACTCCCCCCTGCATGGATAGTTGAGGGAAGACAAGTGAGCTGCATCAGAACACCGTTTACAGGGTCAACACCCCGTGATCCAGCACTCCCCCCTGCATAGATAGTTGAGGGGAGAGACACATGGGAGGTGATTTATGAGGCCAACTGAATCATAAGCCGTTTACAGAGCCAATCATTCAGCAGCACACCCCCCTGCATGACTTGTGTCACGCCAAGTGATACGCCAAGTGATACGCCAAGTGATGTGCCAAGTGATGTGCCATGTTATGCCATGACAAGCGAGGAGGGATGAGAGTGGCATGGATGGTGGGCGGTGAAGGATGGAAAAGCCCAGTTGTTTCTCAAGAATGAAAAGAAAAAAATACACACACAACAAACTTTAATGAGCATCTCGGCCCTCACAGGTTACCTCAGGCCCTCACAGATGTAATGTATGTAACCCCATACTACCTTCACGGATGTAATGTAACCCCATACTACCCTCACGGATGTAATGTAAACTTGCCAGCAGATCTTCCCAGAACACCCCAATGTCCTCATCGTCATACACCTCCCTCTGCTCCCTTGACGTCTGCCTCGTCCCCTACACCCCTCCCCATCCCCCACACCCCTCCCCATCCCACAAGTTCTCACTCATTCGCAGGGACTTGGAACAGAACTTGCCTGCAGGTCTTCCCAGAACACCCCGATATCCTCATCGTCATACACCTCCCTCTGCTCCCTCGATGTCTGCCTCGTCAGGTACAGAGGATACACAGCCACGTACCTGCTCACGTTCGAGAGAGCAGCAGGGAATGGAATGGAAGGGCGGGCGGTTGTGGGGATGGAAAGGAGGGCGGTTGTGAGATTGGATTGGAATGGAATGAAATGGAATGGAATGGGGGCTGGGTGTTTTTTAGAATTTTCAGAAACTCCATGCGAAGCCAGAGTTGGTAATGATATTTTTTTGTGCAATGGATTCATGGCCACACACCTGAGCAGAGTTTGGAAGGGAGGCTGGGATATGTAAGGGAGGGTGATGTCCCATGCACTCTCACACCATGCCCCTTGCACTCTCACACCATGCCCCTTGCACTCTCACACCATGCCCCTTGCACTCTCACACCATGCCCCAAGCACTCTCACACCATGCCCCTTGCACTCACACCATGCACTCACATCATGCCCAGGTATAGCAGCAGCATGGGGGGGCGCAGGAGGCCGATGGCAATTACGTTGAATCCCGCGTTGCGTGTGCTCACAGATTGGAAATATCCTGCCAGTACCTTGGTCCCGCCTGGCATGCGCACACACACAAACACAAAGGGTAGAGGGGGAGAAGAGTGGAGAAACTGTGTTTGAGGTGCCTCAAAAAGCATTGCGTGTGCTCACAGATTGGAAATATCCAGCCAATATCCACCTGGCATGCACTCACACACAACCATGAGGTGGGGGGAATGTGGAGTAACATTGTGTGTGGGGTTTTGTTTTGTTTTTTGTTTTTTTTTTGGGCAGACAAAGCCCCCACCAAAAGGAAGAATTGCTCTCTTCCCAGACACATCCTCAGGAAATACGTACGTAATCCTTGTTTGTTGGTCTTTAGGTGACTTTTGAGTCGACGCAAAAGTTCCCTCAGGAAGACAAATCCTCTGGGAATATATACGTAATCCTTGTTTGTTGGTCTTTTTCGCATACCCGCAGTCCACATGCAACTCACTGGTGAAGCCGTCAATGGCAGGTGAGGTCCAGTCAGTGGCACAGAAGAAGACAAACTCCGTGAGATTGAACGCGAGCACTGTTAGCACCGAGCATCACGGTGGAGCGCGGTGGGAAGAGGTGCGTGTAGCACTTGCGCGGGTGCACGAGAAGGTAGGAGTAGACGAACTGAGGGGCACGGGGTGAGGGGGGCGAAAATCACTTGTCAATACAAGAAGAACCCAGTTTAATGAGTCTGCTTTTGAAGCACCTCAAGAGAGGTGCGTGTAGCACTTGCGCGGGCGCAAAAGAAGGTACGAGTAGACAAACTGCCGGCCAGGGCAAAGGGTGAGAGAGGGTTGCAGACACTTCTCAATGTAAGAAACGCCAACTGCAATGAGTCTGCTTTTGAGTCACCTCAGAAGAGGTGCTAATGGCATTTGTGCGCCTGTAAGATGAGATGCGGTAGGTAGGTGTGGACAAACTGAAGGGGTAAACAATGTAGGTGTGGGGGTAGCAGATAGATTTTTCAAAATAGGAACCCTGCGGTGTAAGAGACTGTTTTCACATGACCTCAACAGGGGTGCACGCAGTGTGTGTGCAAATGCAGGAGAGCGTGAGTAGATGTTCTGAGGGATCACAGTGCAGGATGGTACAGTAGAAGAAGAAAAAAGGAGGTTGTTTTCTAGAATTGATGTGCAACCTCAAAAACAACCTGCAGGATGGTACAGTAGAAGAAGAAAAAAAGGATTGCCAAGTGTGCGTGCAGTGCAACACAGGGAGGGAGGGAGCCAGGAACAAGAAGAGAGGTGACCGGAGAGCGGTGGGGGACCTAGTGCGAAAACGGCAACCATGCGAAGGGAAAGACGGGTAAGGGTGCAGTCATTAGCCATCTACGAGACCGGTGTGGTGCGGTGCAGAAGTTCCCTCTTAGAGTGATCAAATTCAAGAGGGTGCAGTGCGGTGCGGTGCAGGCCTTACCCTTTTCTCTCCTCGTGAGAAGTGCCGGAGCAGAAGCAGGAGGGCTCGCAGCGTGGGCGGGTACATGGTATTGCCAATGAGAATGAAGACCGACGTGACGATGACCAGAGCTGGGGCCCTCACGAACCCCATTAGGTTATCGTTCAGCAGTGCCGCCCCTGTGTTGGAAAACGTCGACATAGCCTGTGCGGGAAGGAGGAGGGAAGCATGGGGGCCGAGGGGTCCATTTTTAAGGCGTCTCAAAATTAGGTTATCGTTGAGCAGTGCTGCCCCTGTGTTGAAAAACGTTGAAATCGCCTGTGGGGGGGGGAGGGGGAGGGAGAAAGCATGGGGGCCGAGGGAGGGACAAGTGAGGGTAGATGGAGGGGGGATGACATGAAAGGTGAGTGAGTGACCGGGGAAACAGCTGCCTGGGATGGAAGGCGGCTGACTGGCAAGAAGGGCAGCTGACTGACGTGGAATGCACAGAAGAAGACGCTGTTGACGTTGCTGGCCTGCAGAGTTGCCTTGGCGTCTGTTTTTGAGGCGCCTCAAAAACTGACTGACATGGAATGCGACTGACTGACATGGAATGCGACTGACTGACATGGAATGCGACTGACTGACATGGAATGCGACTGACTGACATGGAATGCAGCTGACTAGCATGGAAGGCGGCTGACTGGCAAGAAGGGCAGCTGACTGACATGGAAGGCACAGAAGAAGACGCTGTTGACGCTGTTGGCCTGCAGATTTGCCTTGGCGGAGGCAGAGATGCTAACGATGAGCAGCAGCAGCAGGAAGGCGGTGAGCAGCGATGTGGCGAGGAATGTGGGTACCAGCCAGCTTAATGTCTCCAGGGCCCTTGATAGGGATAGGGACGGGGGGATGAGGATGGGGATGGGGATGGGGATGGGGATGGGGATGGGGATGGGGATGGGGATGGGGATGGGGATGGGGATGGGGATGGGGATTGGGATGGGGATGGGGATGGGGATTGGGATGGGATAGGGATAGGGGGATGGGGATGGGGATGGGGATGGGGATGGGGATGGGGATGGGGGTGGGGATGGGGATGGGATAGGGTGGGGATGGGGGGAAGGGGATGGGATGCGGATGGGGATGGGAATGGAGATGGGGATGGGGATGAGGATGGAAATGGGGATGGGGATGTGCAAGTGTATGTGCATGTGCATGTGCAAGTACATGTGCAAGTACATGTGCAAGTACATGTGCATGCATGGGCATGTGCAAGTGCAGGTTCCACATCGAAAGGGGGGCATTGCAGAGCAGATGGCACAGAGAGAGGGCACATAGCATGGAACGTGGCACATGGCACGTGGCACATGGCACATGGCACGTGGCAGAGATGGCACATGGCACATTGCAAATTGCACATGGCATGTCGCACATGGCACATGCAATGCACAAGAAAATCATTTCAAAAATGAGATTTTTCGAAAGAGGCCCATCAGAGAACAACAGCAGGGCAGAACAGTGGTGCGGGCAAGTGAGCTATGAGGAGGGCCCACCTGAGCCACAAGGAGGGGAGGGAGGGCTCACCTGAGCCACAAGGAGGGGAGGGAGGGCTCACCTGAGCTCGAGGAATCTGAGTTCACTTGGCTGTGCTGCCGTCAGCCATTCATCCACCATTGCATCCGCGTAACCATCAGCAAACCCGTAACCATCAGCATCAGCGAAATCCAGATCCCCCCCAAGGCTTGTGCCGGTCACACTGCTTTCACGGCTCAACCTCCCGCTCCTCCTCTGCCTTGCCCTGTGCTCCAGACCCCCCAGGAATGGCAAGAATGCGGGGGCGTGTGGTAGGGAGTGTGCTCTTAACGCGGATTGGTTGAGAGATGCAGCACGAGTTAGCCTTGAGGTGAACAGGTCAAGGGAGGAGCGCCTTGTAGCTGCCGCCTCCTGCTCCTCCTCCTGCGGCTGCTGCTGCTGCTGTGCTCTAAGCGCCTCAAGCGCCAATTGGAGGCGCTGCCCTTCAATCCTAGCCGTTTCCCCGGCCCAAGTCATCGAGCTCATCCCCACAGCCCCCTCTGCCTCCACCCCTCTGCCTCCACCCCGCCGGCGCAACCCACCGCGTGTCACCCATCCCTCCTCCACATCCGTCCCCCGTCTGGCGCCACGCCCTTCGCCCTCACCAGTACCTGGAGTCAAGGGGTGCCGCCCTTCTCTTGCCTCCTCCAGGAGTTTCTCCAGGAGAGTTGTCAGGCCTAAGGGCCTTCGGCCCGTGGGAGCTGCTGATTCTTGAGGCGCCTCAAAAGTTGTCAGGCCTAAGGGCCTTCGGACCACAGGCGCTGCTGCTGCTATTGCTGCTGTTGTTGCATCTGCTGCTGCTGTTGCTGCATCTGCTGCATTTGCTGCTGTAGCTGTTCCTGCCGCTGCTGCTGCACCAGAAGCTGCAGCCACAGAGGCCACATGGGACTCGCCTGCTGGAGCGACAGTGCCTGCAGTGGCAGCAGGTATCTCAAGGGAGGGGGCGGGCGAGGAAGAGACAAGAGGGGGAATGCAGGCAGATGAGGTACTTTCTTCTCCTCCGCTTAAGCTAGCAGCAGCAGCCGCAGCAGCAGCAGCAGAAGGGTATGCAGTGGGGTCACTGGCGATAGGATATGCTGGGCCTGTTTCAACGTCAGCAAAACCATCTCCTCCCCCCTCTTCCCCCCCAGCATGCACTCTACTCCCCTGCAGCTGCCCCAGCACTCTCAACCCGCCTCCTCCACTGCCTCCCTGCCTTCCCTTGCTGCTGCCACTGTCACTGCTGCCCCTGCTACCCCTGCTGCCCTTGCCGCTGCTGCAGACGCTCTTGGGACTCGCAGCAGCTGGAGCTGCAGGGGGCAGACCTACAGACCAGGCTCCGTTGTTCCCTGATATGTTTTCTCCTCCTCCATCTCCTCCTTCTCCTCCTCCTCCTCCGCCCCCTGCACCATGCGGCGCTGCCTGAGAGGCGGAGGCTGCAGTGTCAGAGGCCCTGGGGTCGTAGCTGGAGGGTAAGTCGGAGGGGTGGGTCTGGAGCAGGCCAGCGCAGGCGAGATGGCGGTGGAAGTAGTAACGGCGCACCAAGACTGGCACCAGGGACGTCACCACCTGGCAAGCCACAGAGAGAGAGAAAGAGATGGCAGTCAAGCTTTGAGACGTCTCCAAACTCGATTTATGGCAGGCTGGCGTGGGCGAGATGGCGGTGGAAGTAGTAACGGCGCACCAAGACCGGCACCAGGGACGTCACCACCTGGCACACACAGAGAGAGATGGGAGCCATTTTTTAAGTCAATTTTTAGAATCGTAAGAAATGACTCCAATGTGGCGCAGCAGGACAGGCACCAGGGCTGTCAGCACCTGTCAGCATGGCATGGCGTGGCATGGCATGGCATGGCGTGTGGCATGGCGTGGCATGGCATGGCATGGCATGGCGTGTGGCATGGCGTGGCATGGCATGGCATGGCGTGTGGCATGGCGTGGGGCCTGATTGAGAGCATGTACCAATGAGGGTTTCATTCACCATGCGATTACTGGTTACCACCACGTCATTGTTTCTTTCTAACCACGCTCCTGGGAGCCCATGAACATGAGGAGAAGGCGAGCAACGTTGGTGCCATCAGTGAAAACCCCCACATCCACGGTGATGAGTCCCGCCAGGCACACACACGACGTCACATTGAAGAGAGCGTCTATGAAGCTGATTTTCCCTGCTGGCCCGCTCGGCGCCACGCAGAAGACGAGCGTGAAAGCGAGGATGACTATAACGAAGCACAGCATGTGCAGCCGGTAGAAGGTCACGCGCCGCTTGAGCCACGCGGGAAGAGCCACGCCGCGCATCAGCGGCGGTGGTGCGACGGCGCGCCAGGCTGAGATTGCCATGGAAACAGCAGCTCCAGCAGCAGCAGCAACTACCACTAGTTGTAGCACTAGGAGCCTCAAAAACAGGAGCACGGGTACTGCTGGTAGTAGTACCGCTAGAGCGTCACAATCAATAACTTGCTGGAACGACACGGAAACGTGAATGGTGGAGGCTCTGCCGTCCAGAGCAAACGTGCTCGCTCATTGATCCTCCCGGGTGTGTCATGCGAGGAGAGGAGACGTTTGAGTCGACTCAAAAGTCGCCTCATAAAAGAAGTACAAGCGTAGCGGCTGTGGGCAGGTCGTACGTTTACAGCTCATCATTCGTGGCTGAGCTTCACGGTTTTGCACTGTGACGCAACGAATTAGACCGCAAAGAACGTACACGAGACGTACGAATTACACCCCGTCATTGAGCCTCAGATTGGTGAGTTCTGGCGGGTGGAGAGGAGAGGAGGGAGAGAGCGCGGCGACTCTCAGACAGCGGAGACAGTGAGCAGAACGATACTGGAGAGGAGAGAGATGCTCTCGCGACAATCGATGGTTTGCGGGGACGCGGGCCGCGGCCGCGTGAACGACTCGTTTCGGCAAGGTCACGAACAAAAAAATCGCAACCTGTCTTGTGAGCATGACTCGTGTGATGAAGCAATTTTCGATGTGCCTGAAAAGGCGACGACATTTCGGCCATGTCCCGTGGTGTGATGTGGGTAGGAAACTTGAGGGGGTTCATAAGGGCGATCACGCCCAAGTTCATATCGCCCGACGATCCCAAGAACACTGCGAAGCTGTTCGGGCGCACTCCCCTCTTGGCTGACGATTACCATGGTGTCGGTATCCCCCTCCTTACTACAATCACACGGTTCGGGACACCATTCTCGCCGTACAGAGTGTTACTTAGGCGAATATGTTGTACACCGAATAATTTCGACGTGATTCCGCCCGCAAACGGGTAGTTATGGAGCCTAATCCGCATGCTAACAGCAGGAAGTCCCTGTGCCTCACTGAGGGAGGGCCTTGCGGCGAAGCTCGTGCATGCCGTGCTCGCTTGGTTTGAGCAGCAGTTGCATCGCTGAAGATGTATTCCCAATGGTGGCTCACGTCCCGCACATAGCGGGTCTTGACTCTAGGAACAGAGTGGATGGCTCTCATTGGACATTTCGGATAAAGTATAAACGGGAAAAGTGTAAATTATAAATCTTATCAAGGAGAACACTTTAATATAGCCAAATTAACTTATCAAACTACTGTATAGACCCACACAAATTGGCTTCTCAAAATGAGTGCTTCAAAGCTTTCGTAACTTCAGAATGTGCAATAACTGTAGGAAACAACGTCCCCTAATGCACATGACTCAGATAGGGTCACTTATGTTACCTAGTAAAACATGAAATACCACTGTGCACTCCTGACAGTAGCAATCGAAGCATGCAGTACTGAGGCTGGAGACGAAAAGGCATAATTGTTGGAGTATGAAAGGAATCGAGTTAGCATTCCTGTAGGTGCAGCTGTATCGCACCCGTCACTTTCGAAGCAGCGTATCGGATCAGCCTGTAAAATTGCCTGTAAAACAGTTAGAATAAGGGAAAGTAGCCCTCAAAGTACATGGCTAGATATGATTATTATTTAGATATGGCTTAATCTATGCTTTAATCAACTTTGTCATTTACATCCACTATTCACAAGGTTCTTACAACAAGTCTTCTGCTACCAACTCTCTAAGGCAATTCTTATCCTATCCAAGGATCCTTTCTCTAACATGGTATGAGAGCTAGATTGGATTATAGGAACTGCTAAAGGTCTTCAACAAGACAACTTCTACTATAACTTATCCTTACCTCAAGGGCAAGCAACATGCCAGGCGCAGATTGTGGAGAGGCTGGAGAAAATCCAGTGCTTCCCTCCACCAATATCGCTTCTACAACAACGACTGTGGATTCAGCGCAGCTCATCTCCCGCATCAGCGCCCTGGAAAGCCACCAGCCAATAAGCATCGACGGCTCTAGCTACGCCCGACGACCTCCCGATCCTCAAGGAGCTGGGTCTGAACGATCATTTACCTACGACAATCGCGGAGCTCAAGGTTCTGCACAAGCACAGGCACATCTCGAAATAATGGCGTCAATGCAGAGCAAGTTCCTTACAACGGCAAAATTAAGGACAACCAAGCCCTTCGACGAGAAGGACTTTTACACCTGGAGTTTCAAAATTGAACTCCTAGCCCAAGGCTCACAAATCTGGATGTACTACGACGGATCCTACGCATTCCCGGCCAACGGCTCACCTCAAGAGAAGGCGCAGTACTATAACGAGTCGTTGATGACCTTCACCGTCTCAATTCAGAACTTAGCGACCGAAGAACAACTGAGCATCCGCCCCTTCAAGAACGAGTGGGCGCCCGCGCAACAATCCTGGGAGCACCTGCGCACCTGCCACATGGCAACAGACTCAGTGACACTCAGTCGCCTCTTCAACCAGCTAAACAATGTCAAAATGATCCCTGGCGAGAAGGTCGGACCATACATCAACCGCTGCAGAAATCTGAGAGATCAATTCAGGAAAAGTGGCGGCAACTTTCTTGACGACATGTTCGTCACAATCATTCTCGCTGGATTGAGCTCGGAATGGCGCCACTACAATTCGCTCCTTCGCACGCAAGGAACGCTCAACGAAACCTCCCTTTGTGCCTCGCTGTTTTCCGAACAACAGAAGATCGACCTGTACAACGAGAGAGGCAACAAGAAGGAAAAGATCGCGTTTTACGCGCAAGCGCCACCGGACAAGAAAAGACTCTTCTGCAAGTATTGCAAGAAGACAGGACACACGATTCAAGAATGCTGGAAGCTCAACGGCAACAACAATCACAGCCAGAAAGGTGGAGGAACTCACCAGCAAGCCGCCGGAGCTCCAGCATGCAACCAGACATTGTCACCCCCGGCCGTCGCCAATACCTCTCAAGCTCCAGCGCGCATCCCTGCGAATACAAACGACAAAGGAAAGAGCAAGGTACGAACTTGCATGGTGCGTCGGGGACCGCCTCGCCCAAACCGACACTATCGCTTCTTCGCAGATGGGAGGACATGTTTGCAGATCCACCTCAGGAGCGGCCCGAAGGTTCAGTTGAAGATGAAGAAGAGAATGATCCCACCTATGACGAACTGACAGTCGGCTGTAAGAACCTCAGTCGACTTCTTACAACAAGTCAATGATCCCGGGCCGCGCGCAGGCTGTACGGGCCGCGCACAGGCCACGACGGGTGACGGGGGGCGACGCGCGGGTCCCCGTCGCCCGTCGCAGCGCCTCCCGGGAGCGACGCGCTGCGTGACGGGGCAGAAACCCGCCGCGCGCCTCGGGGCGCACGGCGGGCAGAGAACCGCCGCGCGCCTCGGGGCGCACGGCGGGCAGAAAACCGCCGCGCGCCTCGGGGCGCACGGCGGGCAGAAAACCGCCGCACGCTCCGAGCGCGTGGCGGGATGAAAAATCCGTTGCACGCCACGGGGCGTGCAACACAGAGAGTAGCAGTAGCAGCGGAAGCAGTGAGGTGGGGCCCACAGGCCAGGAGCATATCGCTCTAATACCATGTGAAGATAAGCAGTAGAAGAAGGCGCCATAGCTAGGAAAGCCCTAGCTAGGCAAGAAACAGTTTAGGCAAAGAGGGGGTTCACTAGCAGGAATGAGGATACAAATAGCAAACCCTAGAAGGGTTGTACTCGCTATAGAGCACCCCACTACAGGCTAGAGCATAACATTCTGACATGGATCCAAGAGTCACCACCTGCACGACGAGGAAGGGTGTTACTACGATTACGAAAACGAACATGACATGGAGCATCACATCACTCTGAAACTCGCGAACCTTCCCAAGGCAAAGAAAGAGGTAAAAAAATGTTACCTGGACAGTTGCTGTGGCCAACACATGGTGTCGTCGAGCATCTTCATCCTCAACGAGGTCGAAATCACCGTCACTAACAGTCATACGATCTATGCCAGGAGCCGCGGACAGATCCAGCTGGAATCACACGACACCGGTTACTGCATCCACATCAGCGACGTCCTCGTCGTTCCCGAGCTTCAGTACGACCTCCTGTCCCTAGACCAGCTGATGAAGTGTGGCATCGCGCTGCAAACAACAGAAAACGAGCTTCACTTAATATATGATGGGATCTTTATCGGAAAAGCAACAAGCGAGGGAGGATTGTTCGTGCTTGACTTCGAATCGCCCAAGACCTCTGGCGACAACCACCACATCATTGTCCTCGATCCCCCCGGCCACCCGTCACCACCAACATGGAGCCATCCAGAAGAGACCGATTATCAACGACCCGGCCTCGATGGAACCTTCCGCGCTCTTGCCGTACCCGTTGCTTCGACCACGAACCCTGCAGTCACAGGACCACAAGTGGTGGAAGAAGAAGAAGAAATTACATCGGAAGCAGCAACCACGGAAGTCGGAGGATTTGCACGAGCAATCTGGCCCCGCGTTCAACATCCTACCGATTGGAACTCAACCGAAGGCTGGGACGCGGTGGACGCTCACTGGGTCATGGAAAACACCGCACTAGGAGAAGCCGCTGCAGCTGAAACAAGATGGAGAAACGTCACCGAAGGACCTGCAGCAGAAGAAGCAGAAGCAGCAGAGGAACCAGAAATCACTGAGGAGGCACCAGGAGCAGAAGAAGAAGAGTCACTAACGGAGTACGGCCCTCACCTCATTCCCATCACAACAGACGGCAGGGATTACCTCCGCATCGAGACAAGGGGAGCGGCGATCGGCGACACACACTTCGAGGAAGGAGAAGTTACGCAGCTAGAAGATCGTCGCCCGCGAGTCACACCAACACCTCCTGAAGGACCACTAGAGCTACCCGTGACGATCGACACCTCCACCATCGGCGACACCAGCGGGACATACCACGGCGCGACACTCCAAGAAGCAGCAGTTCAAGTCACTGTATCCGATGAAGCTGCGGAACAAGTTGGGA